TATCTCCACCTCCAGAGCTCTTCGGTCTCTTTCCCAGTCCCCAGTTTGGGTGTCGTCTTTCGTTAAAAAATAAAAAGCAAAACTTTTCTAGGAAATTCCCACTTAAGCATAGTCCTTCTGAGTCTGACTTCCTGCCACTGCTTGGATCGGGTAGCACGGCTGTAAGAGCTAGAAACCCTGAGATGATGCTGGCAGGGTCGGCATTTTGGAAGCATTCATGTTGACATCATAACGGCTTTGGTGCCCACTGCTAGTGCTTCTACTCTACTAACGGTTTGAGGAAGATTCTTGAAGTGCAGTCTTCTATTATTCAGCTTTTAAAAAAAGGAAATTAAATGGTGACGAGGCTTTGTTAGAACGGTAGAGGTTTGACCTAACCCCTTGGAGCATAAAAGAGCCATCCTGAGTCTGGTCTTGCTGTACTACTGCATTGCAAGACTCTGAGCTCCACCTGTGTTACTGTGCACAGAAATGCCTCCGCACAGTGGGTATGGAGGAGGATCTGACGTTGCCTCCCCATGTTCTTGCTTTCATGGGCTTTGGTTATACCTTTACGGGTCATTGAAACTAATGGCAAGTGCCTACATAAACTGCATGTGGCAAGAGGAGACCCCAGACCCGGGTGTTATCAAGTTATGGTGTCAGCAGAAGTGTTTGCCCTTTAAAGACACCCCCATTATTTTTGGTGGAGCGGCAGGCCGTACGGCGCGTCTGAAGGGCAGGACGGCTGACCCGTGGACAACATCCTCTGCCCCTTAGGAGGTACTGACCATTTTGTGCTTCGCTACTTGCCATGACCAAACAAGTTGCTAGACCAGGCTGTCTCTGCAGGTGAACTACAAATGCTACTGATGGTGGAGTTAAACTCAGCAGCATCTGCTGCTCACCCTGAGTTAAAAAAGATCTGGAGAACATTTTTGTCGGAAAAAACTGAGGGCCACCTCCTCCCAGGTGGGGGTTATTTGACTCATGTTTCTGAGCTTGGCTCCACATAGCTTTGTTGTTCACCTCATGAGGATTGTCGAGATAAAGGTCCTTAAAGGACTCTTGTCTATGGACATGACTCAGAGTTGAAGTAAAGGGTCTCGTATCACCTGTAGTCCCTAATTATGGAGCCCCTGTGGTGGAGGCTGGCTCTGGTTTTGTTTCATTTGGGGTCATGCTATCCTGGAATGAAATTAAATGTGTGCTTCGCCCTGCAACCCAGTCAGGCCTTCTCTTGGCGTGGGAGAGACTGTGTATGGGTCATGGGGAGTTGTCTTTGCTT